AGAGAGACAGTTTAGGGTAAGTCCACACACTATATTTCTATAAGTATGAAGCAAGTTAGAAATTGTTTCTCTTCAACTATTCTTAATTTGATTATGCTGCAATTTATAGCACTAATTTCATACCACAAATTCATAAATTAATTTCCCACTAAAGTAGATCATTAAGGTATGGTAATAATGTTTAAGAAGTAGAGTGAATATCTGCAGATATATTCACAATATCAGCAAATATAGCATAATTCTTTCCTAGAAAACAAGAGATTAATGAAACTTTTGGACTTATTTATGAAAACTTTTTTCAAGTAGGTAAAGACATGCCAGCACTACAGATTTCTTCTAGCATAGCTATGTAATTTAGTGATAGGAAGAGAAGTCCTGACTGCCATATACTAGCAGTATAACTTGGTTGTTTGGAATAAACAATGCCAGGAAGAGAGCAGTATTTCTGGTATAAGCTGCATCCCCATTAGGGATTCTGGTATAAGCTGCATCCCCATTACTGGCAAAGCTCTGATAATGCAGACAGTCTTTATCAGTATGATTACACATACAAGTAAGTTCTATTCAACAAGAGGAAGGGTTGCAGAATTAAGAGCTTTGAATGAAACATATGTGAACCTGAAATTGTATAGGTTAAGTATCAGTTCAGCCTTCCCGAGGGAACTATGCTTTACAGGAGAGAATTTAGCTGTTTCCGGTGTTCAAATAGCAAAGGTAAAAAATCTTTAATATCAATTCCGGTTATTCTAGAATTACTCCAAAAGTGTCACCATGGAATTATGCATGTTCTATAGCACCCTAAAATATCACAACACCCCAGCTTAAAGGTTACAAAATTCTGCAAAGAAAATAATCACAAAGCTGCATCTGCAAAAAGAAATCGAATCATTACTGACATTAATGTATGAGTTTTTTATTTGTGTGTCAGTAGTTAGGTATAATCGATCTGGATCAGGGCAGAGCAGGTGGGGCAGCACTCCCCCCAACCTAGGCAGGCCCTCCCCATCCTGATCCAGAGGCACATGCCCCCCCATGCCCTGCTGTCACTTGCCCAGCCAGGGCGGGGAGGGGAGCTGTAGGACAAAGCTGCTGCTTGTCCAGGCGGTGCAGGGTGGCCAGGGCAGCTCCCGTTGCTCTGTGCCGCTTGTCCGGAGGCAGTACAATGGCTCTGCCCCATTCCAGCTGGGCGAGCAGCAGCAGGGCATAGCCCCCACTCCCAGTGCCTTCCACCCTCCACCCAGCATGCAGCCCCGGCCCCACCCACCCCACACAGATTCAGGGGCACACACCCCACCCCCCTGCCATGCCCTCCCAGACTCGCTGCGGGAGCAGCGGTGAGAGCCACCGGATCAGCTGCCAGATGAGCAGCTCGCAGACCGGCGGTACGCAGCAGCAGGAACCATCCCACCGCCTCCCGGCATCCCCTGCCCCGACTGAGCAGCGCTTGCCCCAACCCCTGTCCTAGCCCCAGCCCCAATCCCTCCCTCACTGCAAGGGTGTTGATCTGACTCCCCATGACCCCTCCCTCACCCTCCCCACCACAACAGACTTACCAGCTGCACACAGCTGTATCAAGTGTCATAAAGAAACCAATCTCCCTTTTATAACATTGTTCCTATGGGAAAATTGGTTCCAACTTATGTTTTGACCTAAGACAGTTTTCAGGAACCAATTGCATAAGTCTGAGGACTGCCTGTATATGAATTGGGCCCCAAAGTCATGAGATTTGTGCAAAAAAGAAAGATATTTTTAAATGGTATATATAAGATTCTTATTATTTGCCTTTTGAATCATTAGGTTATACATTTCAAAAGTGTGAGAGTAAGGAATGTACTTTTTAACTGATAACTGAGATTCTCATGTAATCCTTTAACTTCAGATGCTGATAGCTTGGTAAAAACACTAACTCTTGCAGACATGATAGAATTGTGGGAACTAGGAACTCTGTTGGAAACCAAAATGTGTTCTCTATGTCCAAAAAGCTAGGACACGTACAACAGACCTAGTTCTAGGTGACCTTTTGTGTCTAGCTTGATAGAAGACAAAGGATGCCAAATTCTGCCCATGCGTGGAGGTTTCCAGGGCTATAAGTCAGTACAGAGCTTGGCATACAGACGTGATAGGTGCCCACATATTTAGACACAGGGAAAAATGACAACTGTGAAACTATGAAGTTACTACGCTAACTAAAGTAGCATACTATACAGATTCCTACCATGATAGAAGAATTTGTAAGAAAGTACAGGTTTCCCTAGCTTTATGCTGTAGATGCATTCCTGGAAAATGGTGCATAACACTTTACAATGTAACAAATGTTCCAAGACCTGGACTATACTGACCCCCAGACCCATTTCTACCACTTTTACAAAACAATTTTGGTACTCTCCAACAGCAGACGATACACACAAGCACAGGGCACTATCATAATGGGGATGGCAACTACAGAAACATATGTCACAGACGAGCCAGGAGCACAGAACCACACAGGAGACTATATTTTGGTGCGCATCAGTGCCACAATGCACTGAACAAAGCAGCTGACTGCAGGCTTCCACCACACCAATCGCATAAGAGTGAATTTACCTTGCATATAATGAATTTTTGGTATAAAAAGTGTCATCGCATAAGAGTGAATTCACATATACAGTAAAGCAAACCTCAAAATCTTTTACTCAGAAGTATTTAATACAGGAGACAATCGAATCACACATAGGATAGGAGTTTAATACAAAGTTAAAAGAATAAAAATAGATAGTACTGTCACTGACAGAACTATCTTACAGTGGGGTAGTTATCTGTGATTAAATATACATGTCAACACTGGCTGCAGGTATAAATTGTGCCTGGTCAACCCAGGCAGCAGGGGGCTAGACTCTTGCTTTCTGCCTAGCTACATGGCTCTGCACTTTCAGTACCCTTGTGCCCCAGCCAGCCCCTCCGCTGCCTGACACCTGGAGCTAGCCCCCGCCCGCCCTTGCACATGTAGATGCTGCACCAGGGAGTAGTTTACTCTGACTCAAAATGCTTCAGAGTTTATTGTTTTGAATTAAACAACAAAGAAGGATTTTTTCACTTCCCTGGCTGCCTCTGACATTGGATACCTTCAGGGATGAAGACAGCCTAATCTGCACATCACAGAGCAACAGTCTCATAAAAGGACTCTGCCCAGGGGAATACACGTCCAGCCTCTATTACCCATGTGCAAATTGGAGTTTATTTTCTACCTATGAGGACTTTTACAATCTTTCAATTTTCCTCAACCTGAAGAAGGGTGTCAGTGCCCAAAAGCTTGCAAAGAAATATTTTTTTTGCTACTACTGTACTTAGTTGGTCTAATAATAGATATTGCCTCTGACCCAAGAGCTTTGTGTATCCCTTGCACATGTAGTTGCAGGCAGGAAGTCTGATAAGCAGGCTTTAGGGACAGAGAAGGCCTGAGTTCAGCAGCAAGCAGAACCTCCTGTGTGATTTTGTGCAAACTACTTGTCTCGGTTACTTGAATAAAAGTCATTACAAGTCCCTACTTCCCTGGAGTAGAAACCCTGAAATACTTGAGAGAACTTCAAGCGGAGAGTTGCAGCCACTAGGGGCCAGGAAACATGCAAGGAGGAACAACTTTCTGGCCATTCCTTTATTGGAGCAAACGTATGGGAAGAGACAACAGTCTGGACACCAAGCGCCTTTCCCAGGCCCTGACAAAGGACACTCTGCGCCTAGGGTCCGTCACATGATGTAAATGACATTAATGACTGACTATTCCGTGCTCGGGAAGGCAAATGTACATGACTATTACTTTTTAAAAACCTCCCGTATACATTGGATTCAACATTTAATATTGGTTTGAACGGATGCGCTATCACGTATTTCCCCGGTGAGTCTCAGCAGTCTCCCGGAGATGATCTCTAACTCCTGGAGACTCCAGGGCAGTCCTGGAGGCGTGGCAGCCCCAAAGCGCCTCTATCCTCCTCCGCAGCTGGTCCCACCAGAGACATCACCAACCCCAGGAGAAGAGCTGCGGGAGGGAGGGAGGCAGCGGCCGCGGGCCCTCGTGGAGCGAACATCCCGGGGGGCGGCCGCTCCCCGCAGCCGGGGCAGGGCAGAGCCAGGCGCTTGCTCTCCCGCCCCCCCGCAGCGCCCCG